ATGTTGTTTTTTCAGATAARCTGTTTTCTCTAAATGCACCCATTCTCCTGGAGCTAATATAATGAAAGCTACCTCAGCATCATCTCTTCCATCACCTAGACATATAAGTTTCATATTTTTGTTTCTTAACTTACATAAATATACATACAATTTATCCTGCAATGTTTTTAAAGATTGCATAAATATTAATTCTGCCTTTTGAAAGGGAGCAGCTGAGGAATAAGCAGATTGGGAAGCTGCAGCACTGAGTCCTTTGAGACTTTGGAGTTAAGCAGCAAATGTTTCCCTGTCGGTGTCCTCTGTCTCCTGTTTGCCCCCCAGAAATCAAGAACCTTTGGGACTCCTTTAGCTCAACAGTGGTTGTTATTGAGGTTGTTATTGTCTTGGAGGGGTTTTCCTAAAATACAGTGGTGAGCTTGGCCATATAATACTTCTGTATTTATGGTGTGCTAACATGCCTAGATGGAGCAGAGTCAGTAATCTCTGAGCTCAGAGTTATCTGGAGTCCTCAGGAAAAGGARGACAATAATAGACCTGATTTAGAAGACTTGATTTAAGCCTGGCACATGAAACGATAGTAAGCGATAGTCTATTAAGGTGTATCCCTACCTTGAAAACATTATATTATCATCATTGAACATTTAGGTGTATTTACAGCTCTCTAAAGTACAGCAATATAAAGCTGATTATAAACTGGTCGCTCTTTTTTGAAAGGACAAGTTCAAAAGGTCTCTATTTTTAATGGTGTATAATTAATATGTTTTCCAGGAGTAGTATCACTGAGTTCCTTGGTAGTTTGARGTGACAGGGAGAAATAATTTGTACATTGAAATCAAGTGTCAGCTGATGAGTTTTACAGAAAGGTGAAATGAKACTGAGAAGCCCTAAAAAGTTGCATCCACTGTGTGGGAGCTGTCGCTCTGCTCTTTTCTTGGTTTGGAAAACATTTCTCTTGCAAAAGAGAGGAATGTGTAGCTTGTACTCCATTTCAGGGACTGGGCTGTGTCTGGGTTAAGTCAGCCTTAACCCAGGCTAATTGGCTAATTGATGTGCACTAATGGGCCATTTGGAAATTATCAAGACAATGAGAAAATAGTCTTTTCTTCATCAGTCTGCCTCTGTCCTTTGCTTTTCTGGGGATTCTTTGTGACTAAATACATGACTTTTGTCGTTTGTGCTCAGCAAAAGAAAAGCCAAGCCGTGGCTTCCTTGTGCCAGACTCCGGGGCATGCACGGAATGAGCAATACCCACTGGTGCCCTGGGAATATTTATGAAAGGAAAATGCTTTGCTGTAACTTTGTAACTTTCATCCCAAAATTACTCTTAAGAGGTCAGCGGGGTGTGTGTGTATGTGGTGCACATGTAGAAACGGAAGACTAATAAGTGCAGTGGGCTCTTGAGRTTAGAAAATGGGTTTGAGTTTATTCATATCTGGGCGATAAATATTGCTATAATGAAGCTTTGCATTTACTCAGTAAGAGCCAAGATCCTCCAAAAGTTATCACACAGCTCCATCTCCCGAGCAAACCCTATACTGCAAACTGCAAGTCTAAGTTGGATTCCTGAGCTTTACTGGTCTAACTGTGCACGCTGAGAGCATAAAATGTTAATATTCAGTATGTGGCTTTTTCAGCTCTGGAATACGATCAAACCTCTGATGAGGCAAAGGACCCAGATGGTTGGAGAGGGGTCAAGGTAGAATGGGTTCGTACCTTCTCTGACTGAAAAATTCACTTGCAGTGCATAATCTTATGAAAAATATTAGGTAGAAAGTGAGGTTTGTGGTCGTGCTCTTGATAGCAAGATCAATGTGCAAGTAAATACCTTTTGTGGCTGAAAATACACAATGCAACTGGAAGCAATAACAGGAAATCATAAAGTTCAGAAGACAGGTGTATTGGCAGAAGAGAAAAGAAATCTTTGATTATCAAGACCAAAGTTTTACTGATGCATTATTCCAATAATGCACATATAAAAATGTGCATTATTATTCTGATAATGCTTATACATCAGTCGTAATCTTTATTCCTATAGATTTTCTGAAAAGGGAAGTTTCCAATTTTGAAGGATGACAGATAAATCTGGAGTTCGGTTCATGTTTGTGGTTTTTGTTAGTTTTGGTAATTAGCTGGAATTTACTCAATTTCAGCTGTGAAGCTTATTTAAGGAAAGAGAATTTCCCCTTTCTAGAAAATTGGAACAGAACGTATAGCAATAATCTGATAGTAAAACACTGTAATAAATTAAGTCCATTCCAATATTTTGTAACTCAACAGTACTTTCAAAACAATCTTTCTATTATTGGAGACATTTCTGAAAGCAAATTTGATTAAAAGCTATTTATTTTTCTGAAAAAAAAGAGGAAGGGACCTGGAAGGGTTTTGCATCAGAYTTCCTTCCTCTGTATCAGACACACCCACACATATAGCTTTTCCATTGCTAAGAAATAATCATAATTTCTTAGCCTATATTTAACTGTCAGATTTAAATGATCGTTCCAGGGCAGCTTTTCCTATTTGTCTTGTTCAAGTAATTACCGGGGGTTATTTTTTCTTTTCAGTTTTGCGTGGTTGGCTTGTAAAAATCTTGATAATGTGAACTCGAAGGCTATCTCCTCTGTGCACTCTATAAACGTTGGTATTCACGTGTGAGAAAACAGTGATGCTAACTCTCTTTGCCTGTGTAGAATTGCCATGGAGTAAAAAACAGTCTCAGAGAGGTGGGTATGGGGACTAGAAAGTGCAGAGCTGTTAATGAGACTGTGTGAGAGTGACACATTTGAGCATGTTAAAAATAGGGATTGTTTTTGTGTAGCATTTCCCTGTTATTTTCCTTTGGTAAGGGATGAGACCAAGAGAAATCTCCAGRATAAAGTGAATTTAGATTTCCCGTGGGGGAGAAAAATAAATAAATAAATAAGTAAATAAAGGACCTTAATCTTTGTGAGGGGAAATGGATGTAGAAAGTATTTCTGATAAAATTCCCTGTTCCTGTATTAGAGGAGACAGAAAACAAGAGGTGGAACTTGAGTATCACCTGTAGGTGCTCTGAATGTGCAAGCTCTTAGAAGTCAGCAAAAGCTGGGTTTAATCTCTTCAGGAATCAGTGATAATTAGTAAAAGTAATTTTTCCCTCTTTTAGCATCATCCACTGAATGAGCCTGGGGTCAGGTGGAAAGCAAATATGGTGTTATGATACTTATGCTAAAGGATTTATTAATCCACCCATCCAGCACTGTGGAAATGCTGGTTTTGTAAGTTCCTTGGCCTTAGAAGGAAAGAACAAGGGAAGGTGGCAGAGGACCTCAGATGGTGGCTCTGCTGGGCTGTGGGTTTCTATGGGTCACACATTCTGGGATCTATTTCTATAGATCCCAGATCCATTCTGGAATATACTATATAGATCCATATMAAATATAGGAATATAAATCCATTCTGGGATCCCCTTTCTATGGGATCACACATTCTGCTTGCTGCCCAGAAGGAGAAAYGACCTAGTGACTAATCTGTTTGTTGAAAGATTTGGGCCAAAATCATTTCTATAAGATATTTTTCATGTAGCATCAGAGATGTCATTTATTTTCTTTGTGCCTTTGGTAAACATAGGTTTTTTCTTTTATCTTGTTCTAACACAAGCAAAACTCATGACRGAGTATCTGTAAATATGTATGGCAAGTGTAATTTTCTTAAAATGCTGATTTTGAGACTTTATTAARCTGTGTAACTGGTAACAAACTCTCATTCCTAGTTTACTGATAAAGCTTTTAACAAAATTGTATTTATAATATCTCATTTTAAAAATATAAATTAAATATAAAATGCACTTGCCATTAAAAGTGGGTGTTTCATAATGCAAACTGAAGGACAGGACGAAGGTAGGGGAATTTTGTCATCTCTGCAGCCCTTAATTTTGCAAGGCATACAGCTCTTAAAGGGAGGTCCTGTCTATTTACATTAAGATACTCATCCACAGGTTGTGTTCTTCAAATCCGCTCTTCTCTCTGCTCAGCTCTTCATTTTCACTCCTAACTGTAGACTTCAGGAAGYGTCAGATACACCTTTATGTTTTATAAATCACACCTACTAGCTAGGGGCACTTGTGTTGCTCTCTCACTTGAGATTTTCTGTTCTTTCAGCCCAAAGAAARCTGCTAATTCCATGCAAAGGCTCCATGGGAAAGACGCATTTGTGTTGTCAGTTTATCAGTGTTAACTTTGACCTGTCCCTCTTGCCCATCTTTTGACATTGTTTGTGTGTTCTTTTTTTATTTTGTGTTGCAGAGCTGTATCAGTACAGTATCAGTTCTCTCCATATAATAAATAAGGTTATCCTGGAAAAAATATCCTGAGGTTACTGGAAAGAGTGACATGTCATAGAGGAACTCAAGAAAAGTACAATTTAGAGGCTAAAGGATAAGTAGTGGCACCCTATATTTGTTCATTAAAAGACTACCCAATATCCTTGCACGGGGCCCACCAAGATAGTAAGAAATCAGTGCATTGCTCCAGCGTCAGCTTTTAATGAAGATGATTCTAAGTTACTAAACTAGTGGTTTGCTTAGGTTTAAGATTATAACCTGAAAAGAAGAAAGATGCTGAACTTAGACACCTCTGCAGGCAGAGAGCCCAGGTTGCTGGGGAGCCGCAATACAGGAGACAATTCCATGGAAAAGGGATCCCAACCTGACAATATTGCTAATTATTTTTTGTCTTGGAGAAAGAGAGATGAACTTGCCTAACAGCTTGAGTATGGAAAGGTAATGTTTAGTTTATGTGGACTGCAAGCAACGAGAAGGCTAAGAATATTTGTGATCTTAGCATACAAAAATGAGATACTTCTGTGTGTCTTGTTCTTTAAAAAGATATAAAATAAAAATTACRGAGTTGTTAAAACAATCTAGATTTTTCTTAGCAGAGAAAGTAAAGTTTATTTGAATGTGGCATGCCATATATAAACATAATTTTAGGTGCTTTTTAAATTTAAAATTTTTTTTCTCTCTATAAATACACTCATGAGATTTTGTTGGAAGATGTTTGATACATTTGACAGTATATATGTATTTAAAAATAGCATATTGCTGAATTCTGAAAATACAGTATTCTATCAGGAACGTTCATGATATGTTCAAAGAATTTTCATTTGTTTGTCCTGAATTTTCTTTTACTGATCTAACAACGAGATACTGAAGGCTAAAGTAGATAATATTAGTGTGCTTTACAGCATAGAGAATATTTTACATACATTCTTTTCCTAAAATACACTTTCAGCATTTGAAATTAGTAAGAATGAAATGAAAACAAAACATGTTAAAGTCTTCATAAAAATTGGCACACAGGAAGAAATATCATGCATGTAGAATATTATTTATAGATTTACTAGTGATTCTTCTCTTGTTCTTCATTTGTAGCATTCTCGTAATTTCAAATAAAATATAGACATGCGTGTAGTATKGGCATATACTGCTACCCAGTGCACGTGTTCTTTGCTTACCATATATTCTACTGTACATGACAGAAAGCTGGTAATCTTCAGCTGAGGTCCAAGACCATCATATCAATATGATATAAAATTTTCATTTTGGAAGTTATACTCAAGGAATGTAGTGATATGAATGTCCTAAAATGTTAATGTGCAGTGATGATTCTGAGAATAGACAAGCTGGTTTAACATGTGCTGACAGATGGTTAGTGGGCAAAGATGAATCCAGGAATAAAGTAGCACTGTGATCAGCATTAAAATATCACATTTCAATGCACTTTGAAAATGACTGCAAACAAGATTAGCATTCTCTTCTGGAAAAAAAAAAATGGAGATTTCTTTCGGTTGGCACACACTTAGTAACATAAATATACCTTAACCTACTATTTTTAACTTGTAGAATTTTCAGTTGAGTATATTGCAAAAAAAGGGGTATTCTGTGACAACACTAGCAATGCTGGAGGTTGAACAGCAACCAAATTCTGTGCTTCTCCGATTTAATTTATTGCACGRTTATTTGAAACCCAACTGGGCATTTGCATTTCTGAGTATGGAAGTAAAGTTACTTCTGCAGCAAATATTCTATTGTCAATGATATTTATTGACAAAGATTTTCTTCTGTGCAGGTCTCTGTTGGAGGTGTTTCTCTCTTAGACWTTTTCATTTACTTCAAGTATAAAATCTCTTTTTACAAACATTAGCTTTACTTTAGACATATAAAAGAAACGAGCATATGAAATCTTACAYACATGTATCATTTTCCTACCGCATTTTATAAATAACAGAAGAACTTTTGTAACCAACTTATAGCTATTCAATAACGTTTGAATGGTTCATTTTAGACATATTAAAATAATTCACTTCTGCAACATTCTCCGATTTTTGCAATGCAGGAAGACTCCAGCTTTGTGTAGCACAGAGGCTACTAGTATTCTCTATAACGGCGAGCTGCCAAGACCTGTATGGTCACGCTGCCTTCTGTAAATGTGTTTTATCCTCCAACGCAGTCTTCAAGGAACTTTAGCTTTAGCTTCACAATACATATAGTCTTTATGGCAACTTTACTACCACAACACAGGCACCRGCCCTGCCAATATTGACAGGAACTTCCTAGAAAAGAAAAGAAAGGAAAACTTTTTAGTAAACTGTTATGGGCAAGACTAGAAGAAATTACTTGCAGATGGAAAGGAAAGCATTATCCAAGCTGCTCAACTGTTAGTGGAAATACRGATTGAACTAGGCCTCTGCAAATGGAATTTTTGCTTTCTGGAAAAAAGACTTTTGCAGTTATTGAAAATCACAAGAATGTAGGTAGCGCTGTTGCTCTTAGTTATGTTATAAAAGAATTTCATGTCTTGTACTCCAGAAACAGGGACACCACAGCTACAAAAGGACCATGAGTCTTCTCTTGATCGTAGTGGTGATGGCCCCATCTCCAACCCAAGCGCATCCAACGGATGGCATTACTAAATGTGTGAACCTCATTTCCTGCCAAAATGGAGAAAAAAAAAATTAATTGAAACTGATTGAAAATTTGATTTACTTACCCATACGTGGTCTCCAACCTTTAGTCGGAAAATCTTCTTACAGCTATTAAGTAGGACATAATATTGGCAACTATATAAATTGAGTGTTACCACATTGCAATATAACATGTTTGTTTTGGTTCTTTTTTGAATCATAATTGCTTCAGATAGATTTCTTCTTTTATGTAATTACCTCTGTCCATTCGTTATTTTGAGCATCGTAGGACTCCACGGTATCCAGGTACGTGTGGCCATCGTACCCTCCGACGGCATACAGCCGGTCCCCCAGAGGGCAAATTCCAACCGCGTCGCGAGGAACGCTCAAGGGTGCCACTGTTGTCCAGGCATCTGTCTTGGGGTCGTATCTAGATCATGTTTTATGATCAAAATTTAAAAGTTAGGTGGAAAATAGCAACGCATTCTAACTTTGCTAAATGAAGTAACTTGTATTTCTTCTTTTTTTGCTGTACGGTAGTTCAGTTTATGCCATGAACTAGTAAGGACTAAATATTTTGTTCAGCCACTAGAGGGATCTTCAAGCACATTTAAAATGTCCACATTTTGCTTTACTTTTACAGTCTTTCAGTTCTTTCTATGAGATTATATGATTGGTACATTTTGAACATAAATGAAGACTGAGGGAACGATAGTGTGACAGCACTTGAATCTGCAAAGTTCAAGTAAATTTCAGTTTATTCCTTTATTCTGTAAAGATTTATAATTTCTGGTCAGAAATAAGSTTTTAAGAAAATTTCACTGCAAAATAAGCTAAAGTATCTTATATATTTGATAAAAATTGTAAGATAAAATGTGGCAAAATGTGGGTTGATTTTACTCTCATAGTATGTATTCAGCCAATCTCCAATAAAAATTCAAATGAATTCCACTTCAGTCCTAGCTCTATAGCATCTAGCTGCTAGGGAAACCTAACCACTGTGTTGTTCACAAGCAGGATTTGAATGCACATCCACTTTTCCCTTTTTATGCCCCAACGTGTGTAAGAGTAGCCCTTGTACCAATATCCGTTGTTCAGAAATATGAGAGTACTCTTTAATTCAGGGTTGGATTTTCTTATTCAATGAATAAATTAAAATTACTGAAGTTATCAGGAAAAAAAAAAGTGATCTGCAGCTTCACATTTCAAAATAGTCAGATCCTGTAACAGTCCTGTAAAGGTTTGGTAGAAGTCCAGTAAGCTACCCACTCAAGTGCTCATGGCACCATGAAAAGTGCATGTAGTGGGCTTTTCTAGAATTGGAGTATGTTCCAAATTTGTAGTGCTCACCTCTTTTGGAGAACTCAGTTTAAACGTGGTAATAGATTATATTTTCTGCAAAGTAAAACAAACCAACCAATCAACCAAAAAAAAAAAAAAAAAAAAAAAAACCACCAAAACGACAACAAAAAGACCCTGAAGACCCTTACCTTTCTACACAGTCTGAAAGTCGAGAACAGTGGTTGGACGCAGGTGCATCATGACCTCCCACAGCATATAAAAACCCATTGTAGGTGGCAACGCCAACGCCTCCCCTTCTCTTGGACATGGAAGCACAAAGGCTCCACTTGTTTGTGTGCGGGTCGAAGCACTCCATAGATTTTAAACAGGAGCTTCCATCTCGTCCACCAACAGCATAGAGCCTGGAATAGTTACCGACGGGAAAACAAACAATTTCTGTGTTTAGCCTCGCATTTTAATAAGATTTTTATTTGATATTTGATGTTTAAGCATAAGCTATGGATGACATTTAATTGAAAAGTACTAGGTATGTTTAAAAGATAGGGTTTTAAAAATATTTTTTCCTCATCACTTGCTTATTGARTACTTGACATCACGGTGCAGCATTGTTAAGCAATTTTCCGATGCTACTAACATGTAAAAGAACCATAAGAAACTTCATAACATATCAAAACCGTATTTAATATATTTTTGTCAGTGTTTTCTCAGTATTTGTGTTTCAAAATCATCRGGACAGAAGTTACTGTGCAGGTATGTCATGTCATGTGCTGTCAGCCTTTCTGAAGTTTGGCCTGAGGACGCTTATGTACATGCAGTTCTTTCTTAGCTGGGTGATATGTTTGTAGGTGGCAAATGCTAGAGCCTGAATTTCCATCATCCAACCAGGGCTCAGACCAGCTGTGTTGGGAAAATATGTTAGAATAAATCATGGAAACTCCCATTAACAACCATGGAGTTTTTTGTGGCTTTTTTTGAAACAYATTTTACAAAACCTGAATTCCTGTTGTAATCCAGACTGTCTTGATGTCACTAGAGAGATAAGTAATGCAGTATGTAATAGCAGAACTGTCGTAGACATTCAGTGTGTCATTTTTCATATGCCTTTCAGATCCTTGCTGTTTCTTACTGCTATGAAATTGCAGTATTACCTAGTGCAACAAGTTGGATAATTTGGGAACTTGTGCAGAGTAAGAAACAGAAAACAGAGCAGAAGGACTGTGCTTGAGAGGTGMCTGTCTTGCTATGAATTTTCTGATCCCTCTGATATATAATTTGACAAGAAAATTCTTGACCAGTAAGAGAGCAAAACAAGACTTCTAGCCTTGTCTTTTAATGTTTGTGGACTGGAGATAGACTTGAGCACTTCRGTTTATTGCTTAGACCATGCAAAGCTTGAGGATTTGCTTTGTTTTCCTTTCTCATCATGCTCTTAGCTACTGTCTACTTGTTTACACAGCTTTCTGGGAGAGAGGAAATAGCTGAATATGTGAACAGATTGGTTGGTGTTTTTTCTTTTCCACAATGTATCTAGAAACATGACAGAGTCATCTTAAAAAAAAATCTTTTTCCCTTCTTCAAGGAAAAGAACACATACGCCCATATTGACAGATGTTTTCGTGAGATATTTAATTGGCCAAAAAGGTTTGCTTCTRTTAAAACTCAAAGTATTTTCCAGTGGAGTGGAACAACTGGCAATTTTAATTTCAATAGTGCTACTAAAAAAAACATGGTATGACTTAAGGAACCATTCATTTAGGTTACCCAAAGCCATAATGCTGAATGGAGGACATCAGTTCTCATCTTCCCCCATTGGACCAGGGGTTGTATGACACAACTAACCAACTAGCAGCTTCGGTCAAGTTGGAGACAGCCTKTGTCAGGAGTGACTGAGATCAGGATCAGACTGGATTTGCTCTTTGACCAAGTGGTTTCCTCCATGTCATTAGAAAGTACCAGCAAGACCCTCTGGCGAAGGTTATACTGAGAATATTTCCTCTGAGGTACAAAAAGGACTTGAACACACAGTTCTCCTTCCCCCTAACTTCAAACTTRCAGATTAAAATCATGCGATGCTTGACTGCAGTATTCTGATTCCTCCTGTACATGAGGAATTTCTGAATCTGCAAGTATTTGTTTGTTGATGTTTTCATTACTGCATCATTATCCTCCTCTTTTGTAACTCACTGGAATTTAAGAAGTGAATGGGGAAGCTTTTGTGAGATGGTTTGAGGCCAGGTGCAGCRCTGTGCCTACAGCTGTCTATATCCCTCTCAGCCCCTACAAATTGTCACTACCAAGAAGCTTCCASAGTTTTAAATAAGACAGTTTGGCTCAGGCAGTGTCTCCTGCTGATAACCTGTGTCATTTTACCAGGCTCTGGTGTTCTCAGGACCAGAAGTTCTTGCTGAACAAGGAGAACAGAATTTTGTTCAGCATTAATTTATGACTTTTTCTTCTTCATGCTGAAATAAGATGTAACAYACCTCATTTTACAGGTATGATACAGATTGTGCATTAGACTCTTACACTTGTCTGTTCCCAAGTAATGATGTTGAGTGGCTTTAGTGTTTTAGGAGGATGCTTAAGCAAATTTTTAAAATCCTGTCTAGAAAACAACTTACAGTGTACAATGAATATATGACCTCAGTTGTTTCAAGAAGTACATGACGGACAGAATAAAACTGGGTAGGTTAKCATTTGGAGAAAGCTGTTTATTCCATGCCTGATTACTAAATTAGCCTTCCTTTGAACATACAATATCTTCTGACTTTTAAAAATTATTTTTGACTGCAAACTTGCCAAGGTTGTAGATGCATGYGGAGAGCATAAAATGACAGAAAAAAATGACTTTGTTTTTGTAGAACTCATTTCAAATTATATTTCCTCAGGCATAAAAGAATGAAAAGTCAATTTAGAGCCCTAGTTAGAAAGAAGTTGATCAAAATCCCCATGAGGCATATTTCATGTAAAATTCTGATATGCGTGTTAGAATATTTCTGACTTGCTCTAACTTCGGAGAGATGAAATATATGTATAATATGACTGCACATTTGAACCAATTTGCTGCAGCAATACCTTTTCTGTCTTATTTTTGCCCATTGCAACTTCTGCTTGTTTTCTTGAGGTGGTTAGTAACTCTGTGATTGAAAATAATATTTTAAGAAGTGTATTGCTACCTAAGCAGAAGTAAGCAAGCAAGAAAGCAAATGAAAAGCAAGCAAGAGATTTTTTATCTTTCCACATACTTGCTATTTAATGCTGCAACCCCTACAGTGCTTCTGGGCGTTGACATGCTAGCCACATAATTCCACTGTCGTGCTTGGGGATCCCATCTTTCTACTGTATTAAGGTAACTCCATCCATCGTGACCACCGACAGCGTACATTGGTCCTTCAAGCATTGCTACTCCTTAAAAGACAAAATTACAAATTACAGCGTCTCATAATTTCTATTACTGATAAAGTATTACTGATAAAGTATTAATTCCATGTTTCAATTCAATTCAAAGCAATTTCAGCTGATATTAAAGTATCTAATAGCTGCCTTGTCATTGAGCAGAATAAACAGGCATATACAAAATACTTCATATACAATATTTTTCTGAATAAGAATTATCTTTTGCCAAAAGATAGAGGAAAGCTGCTTTATTTCTGATGTTCTCATCTGGAGGTTTTATCCCACTTCTGTTGACGGTTCTGAATCAAATCCGAGCCTATACACGTGAATCGATGCAATTCTTCTAAAGAAAGGCAAAGCAAGGCAATGAAAGTATTTGTCCAAAGCAATTCTCTAATCCTGTGCTCTGCTCTAGCTGCATCTCCGTACTYGCTCCAGCATGAAGCTTAAGCTGAGTGGGTTGCTGTTCTTATTTGTACAAGTACCATAGCGTTTTAATACCTGTAAGTGGAGCCCACTTTAGGATAAGAGCTGACTTGTATCTGTTGCTGTGCTCCTGTTTTGTGAGCTGCTGCTGTCCCTGGTGCCTCCTTGCTTTGTCAGTAAAGCAAAATGTTTGAATCTGGCTGCTTAAAAGTTAGTTTTCGAAATCCATCCTCTCAGGCGTAAACAGCCCGATTTTTTTCAGAAGTGCTAATTTTCCCCAAACTCACACTCAACCTAATAGGAGCTGTAGGTGTAGAGCAGCTTTGCAGATCAGGGTGATGCCCAGAAGCCAGTTTGGGGCTTCAGATTGTGACCTGCTTGACCTACTTGTTGGGTAGAATTCTGTCTTTGCAAATTACAGACTTGGAAATAATTTTTTAAATTTATTCTTTTAGTTCTTCTATATGTTTTGAGGAATTTGACAGACTAGAAGGTATAAACCCTATGCTGTTCTTTTAAATAAGGCAACGTAGTGCAAAAGGTACTAGGCCACAAACTAAGGCTCTATGTCCTTTGAACTTGACAAAGATTTCATTTAATAGCTATTTCAATAAGCATAATAGAAGCCAGCATTCTTTGTAACAATTATGCTACGTAAATCATTCAGAAATTAGTTTAATACTCCTTATATGGTTCACAGTTTTAAACTTTTCCTTATTTTTTATACTTTCAGTTAGAAACTCTTGATTTCATATTATTCATCTACCATGAATAATATTGATTGTAGGGCAGATTATAGATCCATGGATAGTAAGTTATGGCAGAGTTCTGTAAAATTGCTTGTAATGACATCATTAAAATTAGTGAAGATGTATTTATTCCCCTACAGCAATCTTCAGTGTCAGTTATTTTATGATCTGATTGTCAGAGATGTTAGATATCAAAAAAATCTTTTTTTCAAAAATCAATCTGTTATTCAAGCTGTTCCTGTCTTGCAAAAATATCTCTTAACTAGCAAATGTGATTTAGAGTTGATTATTTTCTCTGTTGCTTGTATTTTGTATGTCTTTAACAGCAAAGTAAGCTCTGGAAAGCTCTACTAGTTATGTGTTCATTAATAGATACCAACTTTCTCTTGGAAAATATTTCTACAGCTATTGTTGCATGTTCTTATATGTTTTAAGAATATAATGCCAACGGGATTTGTGTCCATCAAAATGGACCTATGCATGATAGACAGTATGTAAAAGGCCAAAGTACCTCTTACCTAATCCATGTCTGTGTGTYGACATGGGCGGCATTATAGTCCAAACTTTGGTGATAGGGTTGAAACATTCAACAATATTCGAAGTTTTCAGGCCATCTCTGCCTCCCACTATGTAGAGTTTGYTGTCGATCACTGCCACTCCAAACTGTAGTCGTCTACCGTTCATGGTGCCAATTTGTACCCAACTGTTAGTCCTAAGGTCGTATTTCTCGATTGTGGTGGTGCCTGTTAAAATACAGTTATTATCAAACTTTTGCAATATAAGATGCTGGGAAATTGATGATCAGAGTCCAGCAGTCAGTCAGTTTGCCTCAATACATTACTAAATTATGCAAGGAAATTCAGTACATAGTCTTTTATTGCTGCCYGTTGAGAAGTTCAGTTATGAAGTGTGACTCTAATGAGAAAGCTGCATTAAGTTCATGCATATATGATTGCCAAACACATGAGAATAACCTGAAAGCAAGAAGATGCAGAATTAGATGGCAACACATTTTTTTAACGTGGAAACTTTTGGAGATAAGTTTAATCTGTTACTTTTTTCWTCTTTATGAACAGAGTTCACCACAGGTATGTACTTAACCGTGCTTGTGCTTAAACCATTAGCACTACGAAAAATTAAACGGGCAGCAATGTATCTGCCTGTCTTAGGACCTGGGTTGCATAATCATGACTCCTTTGGATGTCTTCCCTTATATGCTGGAAACAGGGAGAAGGCTGAGTAGGGGCATGTGTACACTTGCTTCCCACAGGCAGCTTCCCTGAGGTTTATCTTTGCAGAGCCCTTGCAATAGTGGTTTGCCTACTGCAGTATATGAGCTGTACTTCTCTTTTCTTTTTCCTGTGTTTCTGAGTTTTTAGTATTGTTTTTATATAACTATCCATATGACTCCTGCCAGAATTCCCTGCCTTTCGAAACTAGCACTTTTCTATGCATTGGCTCCTGTCGGTCACTGAGGATCAGCAAGTGCTCCTGCGAGAGGTGACTTAGCGCCGTGAGGAGCACAGACAAGTAGCACTCTGAGTAATGCAAAAGGCAGGTAGCGAGGCAAGAGTGGTCCATGGCAGCAAAACACCCATGAAATGCAACCGAAAAGAAAGGTAGCGTTTGCTCTGGAGACATTTTCCTGAGAATCTGAAATAGATGGACTGCTATATTTTATACTCTTAGTGAAATAAGAACTTATGATTCCTTATTTTGTGTTTCTGAGCCACRTGCCTTTCTAAATGCATTGGCTGGGAAAGAAAAAATACCTGATCCACCAACAGAAAAAGGAAGAAATTCTAATTTTTCCTCCCTCTCGTGTCATCTTTTATTCTGAGCAGTTTGGTTTCTTTTGCTGTTCTTTCTACGTGGTTAGTCTCTTTGTTATTCTTTGCTTTGGTTCCTCTCATTTATTTTATGCCAACGTATGAGTTTTTCAAAACTCTTAGCTTCAAAAGAACTGTCTCATGTACTGACTGAAGAACAGGAAAATTACATTGAGACATATAGTGTCTTCATCCCCTGTAGGCTCTGATTTTACAAGGGCTTGGAAGTAGGTTTTTAAAGTTAATGTGGTTTAGGCACAGGCACATCTTTCAAAACACTAGACCAGAAGAGGTCCTTTGATCTTCATTTGATCATTCTAACTGGAGATTTGACTTCAGGTCCCACCTGCGACAAGCACAAAATCCAGACAGGTGCTCCCCGAGAGTTTGAGTTTTCTGTATCAGGGGAAGCATGTAAAGCACAGGATTGCCAGAAGTGGTAGTTACAGACCTCACAGGTCTGTTCCTCATGGCCTCATAGCTTCTTTCCTCATAGAAGATAAGGAAGGCCTTATCTTCCAGCCCAGCACAGGCCCRAGGGATGAGTCAGAGATGAAGCAGGATGAGTCAGAGATGTAGCGGGACAGCAGGAAGCAGAGGAAATGCTGTTCTACTTAACCATCAAAAGGCAAAAGTKCAAACAATTGGCTTCTTTCCAAAGCCATAAGTAAAAGAGGCACCAAGAGGAAGCCCAGATGTTCATTGAAATAGCCCTTTCTCTGTATAGCCTTTACTAAGAAAACAAACTAGGAAACTTTATTATTATTTCTGTAATATTTAAAGTAAGCTGTTTGTTCTTGGCTATTTCATATAATTTATGAAAAATTAATATTGCTAATGAAACTACAGTAATTGCTATAGTTAAACTTTAATTGTGAGACTGCCCTGGGGATGAGACTGTGTTTTCCCTTCACGTTGTTATGGGGGTGAATGTTTTGGGTTTGATTTGATTACATAGGCAAAGGAAGGTAGCAGTCTTGCAAACATCAGCAGTRTTTTGCAAAACACAAAATAGATTAACTTCTTGATGATTTTATGAAGAGTGAACTCACAAAGCTAAAATGTGCTGCAGTTCAGCAAGTCAGCAGACTTTAAAATAATTACAGTTGTTTGTATTGCACCAGGCTGTGGATTTGAGCTTAACGTAGCCAATAAGCTAACATCTTGCTCACTAAATAGATTAGTGTACTTAGTAAACTTGCTGTTTAGATCTCTGATCCTCTCTTTATAGGTTTATAAATTACARAAATGCTATCAAAAATATGCTCATAGTAAATTACTATAGAATCCAAAATTTTAAAAAGAAAGTGCTTTGAGGCGTATCACTTATTTTGTTGGTCTGCATGTTGCAAAAGTCAAATCATAAAAATTGATATGCATTTCTAACTCTTAACTATATGTCATGTAAGATCTTTCCAATTAAACAGTATATGAAGGATTGACAAGCTTTAGCTAAGACTTTTTAAAAGTTCATTAATGCWTTTGTGGTTTTATTTCCCTCTTCTACAAAAGGTTTCAAAATTAACCTTCTAGCTCTTGCACAATTATAGAGGAAAAGGATTCTAAAATGACAGTCAAAGTGTCTTGAAGGATTTCAGGTGGGTTTTTTCTTTCTTTTTCTTTTTTTCCCCATGATATATGCAGCTGAACAGAACGGTTTTCTGTAACACAATCAAATGGATTTCCAGACTCACCTTTGGTGGCATCCATACCTCCTACAGCATAAAGTGCACCTACTGTAGACTTTCTGGGCTTGGTTCGAGGGCTCTGCATCATGGACCGTCTCTCTGGTAGGAGGTGGTACTTCATAGCCTCCATAAGAAGTTTCTGACATTCTAGGTCATCTGCAAACATTGGACTGTTTTCTAGGTCGGCTAGTAACTAAGAAACAAAAAATATCTTATTGACTTTTAGATTTTTAAAAATTTTAAAATGCACTCTAGTAATTACARCATTTGTATTGATATTGAATTTGATATTATGAACATAATATTGTTCTTTTTGAAATAGAATGCAAATCTGCCTTTGACGTAAAAAGAAACAAGTCTAATACCTAACACTGGACACCTCTACTAATATAAAGCACGTGTTTAAAATGAAATGTGTGCGACGTTTTGATACTTAACCCAAAGTTGTAAATTTGATGCTTCATTCATAGTACCCCCAGTGCAGTGTTGCTATTAGCATAAGCTTTTCAAAAGAGATACACGGACCTTGTATGACACAGATATGACAATGTGAAATTACTGTAAAATTGTATAGCTCTCTCTGGAAAGATCTAAGTYTCATGATGTATTAAAGGACATGTGATGCCAATAGTCAGAAGAGTCGAGGACAACCTAGGTAATGCTGTTCTTGTCCACTTACATTGTGCCTCATACATCCTGCAGTTGATGCATAATAAGCATATTTATTAGTTTACAATACATTTTTTTAAAAAGCTCCCGACCACAACATTTGTAAAGAGATATATTCTCTACTTATAGAGAGATTCCTTCCCTACTTATAGGGTGCTTGAGGTAAGCATTTGTGTTAGGAGCCCAGCAGTTCCCTGCTGGGTTATTCACCTCCCTACCTGGGGTGGCAGCAGAGGCAGCCTGATGTAGGAGAGAAGCATGCCCAGGTCTCGCTGCCTGCTTTGCAGGTCGTGCCTCACCCACATCATCAGCGCCTGGAAGATGGCCTCTTCGTCTGGAACGTTGATGTCGTCACTAGACAGCAGCTTTGCGATCTCATTAGCAGGAAGCAAAAGAAATTCCTGGTTTTTGATCACTTCTGTGAAGTGTTCCTGGAAAGAAAAAGGTTTCCAACCACTTGTGATTTTCACACCTTGAAATAACATTTTTTGTGGATAATATAGGCTTTTCTGCATTTCTGTTCTGTTCAAGAAGATAGGGAACAGCCAAATATGTTCTAAAGATTACTGCCTGTAATCTGACTGCCTTTCATTTATTCAAGCATAAACCCGAAAGGCTTATTTTGTCGAGAAAAACCATTAAAGGAGGAAAAAAAATATTAATGGGAAATACAAATGAGTTTCACTCGGCATATCATGCAGAGYGTTTCTGAGGTTGTCCATTAACCTTTCTTATCTAGTGTACAGAGACAATTTATAGCTAGGTGCCAAAAGTAGTTCACTCTCTTTAAAAATAGCACATGTTTTTTAATGGAAGAATTACTTTTATTTAAACTCTTACTCATTGATGCCAAGGATTTGCAGCATCAATGCAGTCTGTAGTGAAGAGCAGGCCCGTAGGTATTTCCTGGGAAATGGGTGGGAATTCTCTGCCTGACTTAATAAATGGAATTTCAGACTCCTGCTTAGTCCCAGATTTTGGTATCTGCAGTAGCAGCAGAGTGACTTTATCCCTAGACATTCCTTCCAAGTGACAGCTCATCAGCTCCTTCCCAAGCTCCCACTTTTCTGCGAGCATGAACACCACAGGAGCCCACCAAAGGATCACACATAGGAGTTTTTTCCTATTTTAAGGGAGGTGAGCTTTTAAGAAAATTACAAATATTAAAACAGCTCTGTCAAACATCTTTGAAGTGACAAACGTGAATATTTGGATTGCCCTGAAACCTCATGGGAGTCATTTTTCCTTTGTCTGTACTAAGTAAAAGTGTTGCAGTGATTCAGCCTTGATGCCTAACCCCGAGCACAGGAAATAACAGTCGTTTGTGTAGTCAATATTTTCAGGATACTGCATTCATGAACAGATATGGAAAGCTGCAGAGAAGAAAGAGGGAAGAGATGCAGAAAAAAAATGCATCCCATGCATCCCTTGATTTGCAGAAATCTAAGACRTTCTGGTAAGTCTAGTACTCGCAGGCAGGATTCACGAATAGAAATGGTATGTATTTGTGCTTTCCAAGAAATACTTTGGAAAACCTTAAATTTTTGTTTCATGTTAAATTACAACTGATTTTTGTCCTTTTCCCAAACTGTAAATAAAATTGCTAATAAGGTAGACTACCATCATGTTGATAGTAAGAGAGTACAAGAGAGTACAAGAAAATCAGTAATGGGGAATTTACTGTTCACCATCAGAGCTTTTAAAAGATTATTTTACCCTGTCTGCTTAGTAAATGCTTGCAGGTTAGGACAATTAGCTACAATATTTCCTGTTTTCATGAGTACTGAATGCAGAAAATGAACTATTTGTCCTTGCTTAACTACCATTCCAGTTAATGTATTTGATATTAATAATAGTGACTCTACCATTCCAGTTAGTGTATTTGATATTAATAATAGTGACTCTAATTTATTAAGGGTTGAATGTTTTATATGAATGTTTGATTTTTATAAAATAAAAAACTCCATTGTACACAACAGTTCTCATCTCTGAACCTGCTTGCAGATATGCCATGTCCCGGGGATTTGCCACTAGTAATTTTATCCATCAATATGATCTTAAGACTCCAGCATAAGAGAAATACCGTTTGCAGATATAAAATATGGCCTAAGAATGTCCAAAGTGGACATTCAAATGAGCTGCATAAATTATGTTGTGATCAGATTCCACAGTCTTAAATTATATTCAAAGCCAGGAATCCTTTTGTAATAATTATGCCAGCTATTGACTGCATGTCTCCATGATAAGCAGCAGAAAATAGAGCAAGAGAAATTAAGTTCACTTTTCTAACAGTATGGCTAACGTAATTTTTTGACAATATTAAGATTTGCTTCCTTGTGGTTCAATTCAAAAGGAAAGACAAATCACTAACAAAGCTGTTTTCATGATTTATTTGCAAAGCTGTATTCAGGGATGTAAGTCTGTATTTGAAATATTAATTTCCATCTACATCCCTGAAAGCGATATATTTTATTTGAAAACCAAATTGAAATAGGGCATATGAAAACATCCTAGTAACTRATATTTGTATTGCTTGTTTTCAGCTGTCTCTTAATTTTCTGTGACTCTTTTCAAGAGTAAATATAAAAGTGATTGAAGGAGATGTTAAATTTGCTCTGTAATGCACATCCTGCTTTAGTATTTTCTGACATCCAAAGAATAGGAACAGGAAGCCCGATCCACATTTAGTTACAAATACAGTTCAAGATGTTTATCAGAATGGGCTTTATCTGCATGAAAAGGCACTAGGCAGGAAACTGTTGATAGGCTGCATCAATGACTAAAGTAATTGAATGGGAAGGTCCCCAGTGTGTTTGTTTTTATTGAATGGATATGTTGTTTGTAGTTGATTTTCTTCTAAAAATGTTTAAACGACTAGTTCATTTGTATAGGCTCTGTATTTACAATACGACTTTATAGTTGTTCCCCTAAGGTGCACGATTTCAAGCAGTTGAACATGACTTGAAATAAACCAGAATGTTTTATTTATCCTTTTCCACAGCATGTTTGTGTGTGTCTATGCATTGTTATGATCTCATATTCTCTGAAGTCTTTTGAAAAATCAGTCCAGTAATTTAAAAGAAACTGTTTTAAAGATATTTCAAAGAGATATTTCAATCTATGTCTTTCTAGACATAGAAAGAATTCCCTTTTCTATGTCTAAGTGGTCAGTAGGTGAAAATTTGGTGGATGGTTTTTATACCATGCAAGCTCTTGCTCTTTCACTGCACTATCATCACTGTGTTGCATGTGAGATAGAGGAGCTGGTGCCAGTGCTGGAAGCGTTCCTGCTGGAAGTGTTCAGGAAGGCTACCAGAAAGTGGTTTGAAAGGTCCAACTGGCACTTATATCGGACACACAGATATGGCTTTCATTTAAAAAATAGTCAAAATCCAACTCCTGGGGAAGAAGGGTAGAGAATTCAAATGGCTAAAAATCTAATCAGAGAAATCCCTCCATTGTTTACTGCCTATAATCACATTATTATGTCTGTTTTGTGGAAGTCTGGACTAGGAATTTTAGAGCAGGGCTGAAGCTGATGTCTGAGTGTCTGGACTGAAGCCACTGGGAGGAAAGAGCCCCTGCATGCAGCAGGAGGGACAGGGACACTGCACAGAGCCTGAGGWACCTCTGTGACAGAAGGAACCGGCCACAATGCACAGGCCACGCTGCAGTTCTTGCAGCATTAGGAAGCCTCTGAGCTGTGTTGGACACGCTCTACTCCAGATTTCAAGCCTAAAGCCTCACAAGTGGTGTTTTTTATGTCTATTTAGCTGTAGCGATGGCTATTCTTTCTGTGTTTGAAGTTGTTATAGCACATCTTGTTGCCCTGAATGTTTCTCCCCTGCGTTGGCTTCACAGCAAGCTATCTTGCTTCTCCGTTTCCCACGCTCTGCATGTTCATTGCTTTGAGCCCGAGGAGGATTATGCTCAAGTCAGAGTTGTGCTGCTTCTCTGTATTTCAAATCTTCCCTTATTTTCCTTATTTTGGCTGTTTCTTTTGTGCACCTTGCCTTAAAATCAGCTTTAGATTTTATTTTGTGTTGACTCAAAGCAAGAGTAAATCCTTGATGTCTTTTTCTGACATTAGCTAGTTAAAGGCCGTATTAGATTTATTGGAAGCAGTGTGTGCAGATCATACTGCGCATCTAAGTTGCATGTTTATCCCCTTCTACAAGGCAAAATTTCAAAAGAGGGAAAGCCAGRACTGAATATTTGGATTTTCTAGTGTGCTTTTCTCAGCTTCCAGCACTTTAGTGTCAGTCACAGTTCTTCAATTTCCCCTTGGAGAGTGAGCTGGGCACATATGGCCCAGGGATAGGGATTGTGCAGATCCCAGGCACATGGCAAGCAGGTGACTCCGCTCCACCAAAGCCCAGATTTATTTTAATTTTTGCAGGAGAATATTTACATCTGCTGTTAGCCTTATAAATTCAAAGCAGTTAGATTATTGGTCTTACCATAGTATATGTATGTGCCACCTTCAGGAGCTCTGTGCAGCCCTGAGCATCTCCAAAAGAGCGAATCCCGAGGCAGTTGGAAGGATGGAGCTGCTTCATCAGGAAGTTACAACATACCTCGATGACCTGAGATAGCTGCAGAAGACAAGCTGCCGCTAGCAAACTTTCTATAGTGTCTTCCTTTAACTCGAGAATACCTGTGGAGTTTTTACAGGGGGGAAAAATAGGGAAAAGTTTCAGTCATGACCTTTGTATCCGTATTTACTTGAAATACTGAAAGAAAAAAAAAAAAAAAAGGAAAATAATGTTCCTGTTGAACTGAAATGTTCAGTTGTTCCTGAAATGAAGAAATTCATTTCACTTTTTCAATGAAGGATTCTTTAAATAGGGGTTTTTTTTTGTTCTTTTTTTTTTTTAACAGGCTAATATGTTTGGTAGATTTTGAAGATAATGATGAGAACATTTTTATTGGAACTCAAATACTACTACATCTCATTTTGCTTAGGAAAGTGAAATAAGGAGAAAAATATGATGAGGTGAAAATCTTCAAAAAAATCTACACAAAAATGGTACAAAAGCGTGCTCCAGAAACCTGATTTCTTCCATCTTCTCTACTTGCATATATAAGTTTTTAATGAAATGATTATAAGATGTGAGAATTTCATAATGTCCTTTGAATAGACTAGAAAGTGCTCATTTAATGAGATCTTCCATCTTAGCCATCTTGTGTATAGCTTAATTCCCCAATTGATACACAGCATTAAAATCTCATTTTGAAAAAAAAAAATGTAATTTTTTTTGTAATGAACATATTTCAGAAGTAGGTACAATACCCAGTTGCCTCAGAAACACTCATTTTGTTTCCAGCTTCCTCTGTGAGCAGATGATATGTGCCATCTCCATCTGACAAATGGAGAATTGTGATAGTGAGAGATTACAGTCAAAATGATCTCCAGAGTAGCACTCAGATAGGTTTCTTGTCCAAAGTTCACTCCTGCCTTCTGTCCATGGAATATGCAAACAATTCTCAAAGTTATAGCTCTTATCTCACCTGGAAGAGATGCAAATAACGAGCAGCCCGCCATGACCCAGCTTCTTTGTGCTTCTACTAATCCATTTCCTCAGGTAATATATGTTAATTCAGTGCAAAATATCACCATTTTACAGATGTTATGCACCATGCCCTTAAGCTTGTGATTATCCCTTTATTTGTATCCACCAAAAGAAAAAAAAAAAAAAAAAAAAAAAAAACCCAAACAAGTCTATGTGTAGGAACTTCTCTTTCCAATCTGATTTGAAGGTTTTTTTGGCTTTCTGGAGATTTATCTGTTTATGCAGAAGGCTAGATTTTTGATATGTCTTAAGAAGTCAAGGAAATCTTTGATTTTTGATGTTCTTGCTAGTATCAATATAGGAAATATATTTGGTCTTTGATTTTCTTTGACAWTTTGTCATACTTTTAAATCACTCCAAAGACATAAATAGATACTTGTGATGCTTCTTCCAAACCCTCTGTCTCTGTATGGATGTTGTGAAGAGTTATTKCATTCAGAAGCAAGCAAGCAAGCCATGGCCTGCATGTGACATCAAGTGGTGAAGGAACTGGGGACTGTTATTGGTGTTAGACATTAACTAACAGATGGAGCAGTTTACCTAACAAACTTCCATAAATTTGGAAAGTTGTTATTCTGGTCGTGTAGGAGTTGTTATATTCTGGAGGAGTAATTCTCTCCTTTTGGGATGTGGGCCTTTTTTTGCAGAACTACATAGTTTGGTTGGGGGGAAGGGAGTTTTTCTTCTACTTTCCTGGCTGGAGTAGCTGCCATCTGTGTAGAGTGACTTGCCAAATACCAGAACCTGCAGGCTTCCAGAATCTGCATAGGTTTGAATGATCTGGGTATTTTTAATTGCAATATATACTAACATAACAGCTGTGTCCTGCAGCATTTGTGTCTTCTCATAACAAAATGTCTCAAAGACATTTTGGAGTTCTCTTATTTGGTCTTTTTGGTCATTGGCTCAAGCATTAAGCCTAGTTAGCACAGGGGTATATTTTGAAAATGGAAAAAATCAATGGAAAAAGAAAAGGGGGGGAGTATTAAAACTTTAATTAAGATAAAATCTCTGTAATCTTTAAAGAGAAGTAAGTAAACATATCTAGAGTGTGATGGCACTTCCTAATCGTAAAAATTGTTCTGTTCCTAGGTGTGATARCGTTCCTGCCACACAGCCAAACCATGGCCATCCTTTCCTCTTTCATTACACAAGGGGAGCAACCAAATATCTTCTTTTTCTCATTAAAATTCTTAAAATAGCATAAAATCAGAAGTGAAAATAATAGTTTTAAGAATAGTAATAAGAATTACCTGTGTATGCGTAGCGCACCAAAGCTTTCAGCGCATCCGGGTCTACACCTTCCATTTTGATCTCCTCTTGTTTTGCTTCCCGCACGTCRTTAGTAAACATTGCAGCAAAATAATCAGACACTGCGCTGAGAACCAGCCTTGAAATAGATGAAATRGAAATTTTAGGAGGAACATAAATTGCTTCATAATCTCCATAGCATGCATGAAATTCAGTGTTATTAAATAATAAATAGTGTGTGTACTAGAAGTGCCTTCAGTATAGGACTTGGATCTTGCGGTAGTGACTAATAAARTTAAAGGGTAATTCGTATTCTAATTTTCAATGTGCTTGTTTGTGCAGTTTTGCTCCAGTGCTGTCTGCAGTCTGACAGCAGAGAGTACAAGCAGTATCTTTGGCTCATATTTGAGTTGCTTTCTACCTGAAGTGGCGAACATGAAACTCTGATCACGTTATTTTAGTCTSTTAGTTGATGTGCTAATTATAGTACCCATTCATTCATAACTAGACAGGGCGAGCATAAATAATCACAGCTTTTGGAAATGTCAGCCTTTGAAGCCTTGTAAGCACGMATGGGAAATGCACCTGTGGGCGGGAATCTTCTGGTCGCCAGCTATGAGGAGAACATCACAGAGCTGCTTCTGCTGCAGGTAATTCTCCATCTTGCGGAAAGTTTGCTCGGCGTGGTTCGTGGATTGGAAATATTCATCCGAGCCATTGGTGTTCATTCCAAGCAGGGAACTGCTCGTGGTTGATAACCTGCGAGGCAAAGAGGTTGTGTAATTACCATAGTGTTATAAATTCTGGTTATGCTTGTCGTATAATTTTGGTTCGAGTGAAATAACAGAAATGTTTTAAAATGCCTAGCTTTTACAACACCGGTATTATTAAGCCTTTTTCCATTAGTTTCTGTTTGATYTGCAAGTTTTCCTTCACAAGGTTGCATTCAAGTCTTAATGTCAGTAAAGAAATTTAAAAAAAAAAAAATTATATAGAGCTGCCTCTACTGAGGTTTCTACTTCCTATAAGTTTCTTTTTAATAATCTAAAGCATCTTGTGGTATAAAATTTTGGATGCTACATGTCTTTAGAACTTAATATTYCTATTTTTTTCCCAAAGTTTTGAATTGTGCATTACTTTGCAGATAGGTAAAATGATTTAGGGTCTGCACAGACATCAGCTCTGCTGGAGCCGAAGTATGTCAGTCCCATGGGGAGGTGCCCGTCCCCATCACCTGAGGGACACGAGTCCARCCGGCCTTCAGCATCCCAGACCCTCACACTCACTGCGTGTACACAGCATGTGTACATGTGTTACTGTCTGGGTTATTTCAAACAGGTATTATCTAAAAATAGGTTAAGATATTCCAAAATCAGTGCAATACAATCTCTAGTTTTCTTTGAACCTCTTTATTCAATTTTAAAACCATGATTTTTTTTTTTTTAAGAAATGAAGGGGCAAAGCAAGTGCAACTATAATGAATATTCTTTGCAGTTTATGGCTTACAAAAATTAATTTGTCTCAGTGAATTTAATGACTATATATTTTTCTCTGTTTTCCTTCAATGCTCTCCATTGAATATGAGGAAGCTGCAAAATTGGATTATATGCTCATTAGTTTTGCATCAGCCACTTGATACCAAATTCATAGTCTGTAACATTCATATTTTGTAATTTCCCCCTTAGACTTTCACATTTTCAGGAAATGAATTTTATAAACTTTAAAACTTTGGAATGTGTAGAACGATCTTTTTTGCATACCTAATTCTATGATTTATCTTTTTGTATCCTAGATAATATGTATTAATATAAAACTCAGTTCTGTCTATTTTTACTTTATCCTCCCACCATTTTTCTTTTAATCGTTTTCCCTCACTTTTTTGTTATATTAATAGAAACCATAAAATATTTTGGATAATTTTTTCACAAACATCTTGTGCCAGATTTGTTGCATCCTGTTTAGGTGTGGTTAAATAGTATGTACATTTTTACATTGCACTTGATCTTGGTAGAAACCAACCAAAATGAAACTCAGCCATCCCTATTGCAAAGGCAGAGAAACGATTTCTTGAAATAAATAACTATTCTCTAAGTAGTCATGAGAAAGAAATAAGTCAACTATAGATGATAGAGGTTAAAGTACATTGCAAAAAGGAGCTAGTAAAAATAATTATGAGTTTGGTGCTTAATGGCTGAAATATAAGTGGATCCTGTGGGCTGTAGTACAAAGATAGGTAAGGTCGTTGCAAATGTATTGCTTGAATATGTCCATCCTTGCAAGCTTGCAAGGTTTGGGGAAACAGAAGGTAAATCCAAAAGGCCATCATCTTTGTGCTTGTTTTTACTGAACTTCATGCGTATTTTTCCTTTTCAAGGAGCTACTCACCTTCCTGGGGAATAAATTTAATGAATTCAGAATAAGAAATGATGGTCTAGGTAACAGTTATATGATGCTAGATTACAAGGGAAAAATGGTGTTAGGGAGTACAAAAGTGTTTACTTTGGGGCAGGGGAATGGACGTTTTTATTTTGCAGTTCATTCTARGCCTGTTTTTCTTCAGTTCTTAGAAATTCTGAATCTTATTTTCTTTCTTCCTAAAGTACTCTTCATCAGTCAAAACAGAAATCTTAGTAATCAGCTTATTTGAAAGTGAATTTATCCTTTATAATTAAAATGTGATAAAATGCAAATGCCACTTTTTATTATATTCTTTTTTTTAAAAATCAATATCAAATTACAAGTACTTCATTAAGTGTGCCTGTGGTCAAAAAAAGAAAAGTAAAGCTTGATCGTAAGGAAGCTTAGAAGGATGATATTTCAGGAATACCATATGATARAATTTGATTTTGTTGTACGTGGTGAGACTGTTCATTATATTTTTATGGCACTTTTCTGTTAGATACTTGTTCAATTCAATATCTAACTTGCTTTAATACTTGTGAAATAGAGCTTAATTTCATGTATAGATTTTAATTTCCCAAGTATATTTCACAAATTCTTTCATTTCCTATGAAGGAATAGTTCAGTTATTGTCACGTGCATATTTTGGACTACCTTACTACTAAATTGGAGACTCTGCCCTCCACTAGCAGTAAACTAGATCCCATTTAGATACATTAATAAACATCCTAAAGACTTCACTGTAGCTGAGATCTCAAGCATGCCTTATGCTACGTGCTGTCCTGGATGTGCTTGGGAAGTGACAAGGCATGGCACAAAACTGCAAGTTCATCAGTTCAGGTTGTTTATGCAGCAATACTTACAATGCTAGTCATCAATTTTGTTTTTTTTCCTCTCATTTCTTTCTGCTTATTCAAGAAAACTGCAGTCAGCTCCCACACTGGCAGATTTCTCTTATCCAGCTGCTTGAGCTCTGACCCTCTCTCTGTTGAGCGTAGGTTATAGGGTGGGAGAGATGCTGTTTTCCTTTGCCAAATCTTAGGACTACAGCATCAGTTAAGGATACCACATATAAACTGGCTGACAAATAAAGAAGATATATGTTTTATTTAAGAAGCATTGAGTGCACMCTGAACACAGCATAAAGTAGTGAMAAAGCAGATAGACCTGTACTATTTGCCTGCTGACATTATTGTGCCACTTGATTAATTGTCCCAGCCACTGCCTTATAAGTTCTGCTTCAATAGCCTTCTTTATTACTTACTGTTTGCAAATAAAACAGGTAATAATTATGTTCCAGTTTTTAGGGCATTGGTGAGAGAATTTTATCAGCAAATCCGAAAGAGTAAGGAAAATTGTATTATACATCTATGACTGCTGGACTAGCAAGATTAAAATGCGTTGGAATGAAGCAAAATGATGAAAAGGAAACATGACTGACTGAAATAACCGATGGGTAGATATATTAAAACCACTGYTCACTTGATATTTTATAGTGAATTAAGGAAAATGTAATTATGTTTCTTCTGGAAGATTGGGAAGGTCTGCGTGGGCTGACGTGTGCCATTACCACTGACAAAGTGGGGAAGGAAAGAGCTTTAAATAGTCAGCAAAGAGCCAGCTCTTTAACGATATTATCATTATCTCATRGATGATAATTATAACTCTTAAATGCAAAAACAAATTTGATGAGAGAATTAATCAGAGAATAAAACAAAAAAGCTTAAATATTGTCATGTATTCTTATTTTGAGGCCTCTTTTCTTAATACACAGTAGCATGTCTATGGTATATTTACATATGCTCCCTGATTTCCTCAATATAATTGCTACTGATTTGAATCATACCTGACGGAGCATTATATATATGTATATGTATATATATATGTATATATATATATATAAAATGATGTAAGTTAATGAATAGACTACTGACTTTTAGCCTAAATTCAAAATTTTAAGTGACAGTTCCTTTAGAATCAGCTGTCTGGTTTGGATAATTTTTTATTTCAAGCATTAATATACACCTGCCACTTTTCTGCGTTGGAATTAGTTAAAATAACCTTTTCCATTTGGGAATCATAAGTGCAAATGTGCACATCATTATACACAAGAACTTCTGTATATGGCAGYCAAAATAAGGTAGGTGCTTTGAGTTTTGTATTTCCCCCAGACATGATGGTGTAAAATGATTGCCCTTATGATTAGGATCATGATCAGCAGATCAGGACAAATATGGATTTTTTTTTTTTTTTTTTGATTCTTCTGTGAATGAAAGGCATTTATTTGGATCCCACTAGTAAAGCAAGATTGCAGTTAAACTGCAGAGCCCATGAGCATTGTACAGCCAAATGTCAGCTGTGGCTGCTGTAACATGTCTTCATGTTACAGAGGGGTCTAGATGCAAACACTCTCCCTACATAAGCTGTTTTCATTTGGAAATCATATATTTATTTTTCTACTAAAGAAGATTAATTATAAAATTAATTTTCAGGCTCACTGCAGTGCAGAGTGTTCTTATTAGCGTGCATACTCCCACAGTTAAGCTTTTGCCACTAAGAACAGAGTTTGTTGAAATGTTCATGCACTCCTTTAATGAAATCTTGAGTCTGCAATAGAGTTTTATACAGCCCAATTTGATGTATGCAGATAATTTAGAAGTGGATTATTTCTATGTAAATATTACCCAGTTGTTGTACTTTCCTACTGAGGAAAAGCAGAAAGCATGGTTTGCATGTTATGATTGCACTATAGTATTATGTAAATTTTTTTTTTGTTTAACTGCTCAAGACAAAACATTTGAAAGTATCACCATTGGAGAGATGCTTATTCAGGAGTTGGTACTCARTGCTAGGAACTCGGGTTGGAGAACAGCCCTCGGGACCTAAATCCTATCTCTGAGTTAGCACCTGCAGTGTGGTACTCATAGACTGAGCTCAGAGCTCCCGAGCMAGCCAGTACCAAGTGCAACAGGTAAAATCAGCAAATCTTTCTCCGCATGTCTAGTGGTTGTGGGATTACACAGTACCTGGTGCCTGACAGCAGTAAAATTTGTAATATTGTAGGAATTTTCCTTTTAAATAGTGTTTCTCTTTCTGATTTAGACAAACCTAAATATGAAACTTTACTATAAATACTATAAGGGCATGATTCTATTCTTAAAAGACTTTTTTCTCTACCRTGAAATACTTCCTAAAAGCTCTAGCAATATCTAACTAGCCTACAGACCAGACCAGCTGAATATTAGTTAGTGTTTTATTATAACAGACATGTATCTGTGTTCAAATGAGGCAGCGAGTGCCTCAGATCATTTATATTAATGCTATCTCAAGTCATCATTCAAGAACATTGTCCTCCAGGC